CTCTCTCTCTCTCGGCCGGTCTGCCCCTCTCTCTCTCTCGGCCGGTCTGCCCCTCTCTCTCTCTCGGCCGGTCTGCCCCTCTCTCAGCCAGGAGACCCAAGAGACGCCAACTCTTATCTGCTCACGCTGAATCCATCAGGCACCCATGAAGGCACCCGTCTGTTTGACACTGAGCACTTGCCCAGGACCCCAGAAGCCAGTGCCAGCGCCTGGTAACAGCTACAGTCACCATGTCCAGGTTCACAGGCCTCACATGGCTTGGTATTTGTACATCTGAAAACCATATAGAAAAGACAAAAATGTTCTAATAAATATCAAGGCGAGATTTAATCACTAGCCTTGCGGATTCTGACTCCCACCTCTCAAGTGGCCAGAACTCCTGGGACCTCGTTAACAACCCACCCCCCCCCCACTACACACACACACACTTGTAGTCAAATCTTCGTAGCGACTGTCCATTCATTTCTATGTAAAAAACCCTGATCCCAACTTTGACAACCTTAACCCTAATCCAGCCCTAACCTTAACCATAACTAGTGCAACAAAATAGAAGACTTCAGGCATTTTTAGTTTTTTGATTGCAATCACAGATGTTCATAAAACTGAGTTTCCCCTTGAAAAAATGGTCCCCACAACATTAAAAAAGCAGGTTTTTATTACATCGTGAGGACATTTGGTCCCCACAATGCAATATTTACATGACCCACACATGCATACAGCATGTGCCATCAAACTAGAGAGGGAGGCCATGACTGTGACCGTCTGACAAGTTTTGAATGAGCTGTGACTAATGTTAGATATCAGTTTCAGCTAAGACGCTTCATAAAAACTGTCACTTCCAGGACAATATGAGGTATAATGCTGCAGCTTGAGGGCATGCGACTGCATTTCTCTGACACACACTCATCTGAGGCACCCTGCGGGTCCCGCCTCAGAGGGCCTGGCGCATTCGTGTAAATACCGACTGTGGGAGACAAAAGTTTCTTCCCACCAAGAAGCAAACGCACATTAAGACTGACAAGCGGCAAAGCAAGCTGAGGGTCCCGGGGACAGACAGACGGGCGGCTGCTCCAGGCTGCACCGCGGGACACGTCATTATGTCATCGTGTCCTCCGGTTCCTCGGGGGATTCCCTGTCTGGGCTTTCTGAGGAGGAAAGCCAGAGAGGATCGTGGGAAGGCTTGGAAATTCTGGACGGCCTCTCAGGTGGCGGCTGATGGGGGGAGGGGGGAGTCTGAGAACCCTGGATTCCTGTGCTGACTGTAAAGACTGTTTTACACCTGGGGAATAAGCTCTGCGGTTGCAGCTTGGGGGTCTTTAACGTGGGACGGTCTTTAGCGGAGCCAGGACTGACCTGAACGATGCTGCGCAGGTCCCTGACGTACATGCCCTCCGTCTCGATGATCTCCACCACCACACGGTCCACGTATGTCAGCTTGGGGTTGGGGGCCATTGCTTTGGCAGCGAAGGGGGAGATCCACGCGTGTGGGACGGCCTCAGCTGACTGGCTGCCGTTACGACGGGACTCCGCGGGGCGGATCCCCCGTGAGTCTGCCTGCTGCCACTTCTTGGTGCCCCCCGCTGGGCTCAGCTCGAAGTCGACGTCGTCTCCGGGTGGGGGCGGGGCGCTCCCGCACAGGCTGTGTCCGTCGCGAGATGAGCCAGACGACAAGGTGGACACCAGGCTCACCGGGCGCTCTCCGTCAGAGGGGTCGGTGCCGAACGGGGCGGAGCAGTCCGGTACGGCGCCAAGAGATGCACGCTCATTGCTGCTGGCGGAGGAGGCCGTGGACAACCGAGGAGATTCTGAAATGGAGGGGGGAGACACACACACAAAAGAACATCTGGCCTGAGTGAGACAAATTACTGAGGATCCCTGAGTCTCAGGTCATGGAACCAAACCCAACGAGCACCTGGTTACTGTTAAAGACAATCTGCTGCTTTAAGATTAGGAGGCATACATACAAGATGGCCTAACTCCCATCGACAGTAACACTGAAGGGCCTGCTTGGAGTAAAACAGTCAAAATTGCTCCCCCTCCCCGTATGAACCTGAACCTGGGACCTTCTGACCCCAAGTCCAGATGTGCACTGCCAGTGGGCCGCTGATTTAGCACCGAGCAGCTAAAGCACCCAGCTCACTTCGCTAGATCCTTAACTGAGGCGGTCATCAGGGGTCACATTCCACGTCCAAAGGACATAAGTAGAGAAGGGGCAGGGGGGGGGGGTTGCTAGTGTGATGCAATCAGGTCACGGGCCTGTTCTCAGAAGCCAGGAAGTGAACACACAGGGAGGCACAAGGCAGTAATCTCAGACACAAAAGCACCAGCACGCGGCTCTCCATCGATGCCGCCATTCTCGGGATGTCTGGAGAGATGGGAGCGGGATCCTGCATTATCGCAGTGTACAGCTCCACATCGCTTCTGGGACCGTTTTAACAAACGTGAGGTCCTGAGAACACACTCAGGGAGCAGCTTCAAATGGTGGTGAGCAGGAAGTTACGGGGGAATCTCCGTTTAGGCACCTTGCTGATCAGGAAGCAGGTCGGGCAGGAAGCATGGTCCCAGGTGAAGGTACACACACACGGAGCAGCCCTCCCTGCCATTCTGATACCTCTCTTTTATGGAAAAGTCTGACTTTGTTGGTGCTGTGGCTTAACGATGCTGTGGGGGGCAGGGGGCGGGGGCTATTACAGCGACCAGCAGCTTACAGAGAGGCGCAGCGTTTCCCCACTGGGCAGTGGAAAGGCCCTGGGTCCTGGAATCAGGCCAGAAAGGCGGGACATGGAGACCCGGATCATAAAATTGAGGGAGACAGCATAACAACACAGTAGGGGGGGGGGGGGGGGGGGGGGGGGGTATTTGGAAAAGAAAGAACTAG